ATGGAGCTGGCTGGGAGGTAAAGGACTATCTCTATGATTCCAAAGATTCCATTTGGGCAAATATTTGACCTGGGGCTGCCTTAGAAATTTTCCCTCAAACTGGGTGTTGGACATTTGTTTCTTTTCTCTTAATTCACTTGCAACTTCAAAATACTGAAATTGAAACAAAAGCAAATATATGTTATCAAAGACATTTTCATCATAGAGAAAGAAACCTAACATTTCAACCTAAAAGAGAGCTTCTGTTAAAATCTACCCACAGACAGTTGACCACATTGAAATGTGTGGAAGCTGTAATTTAAAATCCCTGTCACTGGAGATGGCTTCAGGAAATATGAAATAATTAGGAACAATCTGCCCGCTTCTCTGTAGTGCCTAGACACTGAATGGGACAAATCATGGCTGAGAGAGAGTAAAGATGTATAGATTTGTCCACTGTGGTGATATTTTTGTTTCTTCCATGACAATAAAGCTTGCCTGAGGATCAGAGTGTGCAGATAGCCACTAGTTAGCCATAGAGGAAGGCAGTCTTGGCACTCCCCTTTCCCAATACTGAAGAAACAGAAATCTGTGAGTTCAAGGTCATCCTGGGCTACATTAGATTTATCCGGAGTCAGGTAGTGGTGACTCACATCTTTCATCAAAGTATCCTGGTGTCACACACCACTAATCCCAGCATTAGGGAGATGGAGACTGAACGGGATATGGCTGGGCCAAGAGAGGAATATAAGGTGGGAAGAGATAGGAGATCCAGGCATTCAGTCTGAGGTCTTGTAGAGACTGGATACCCCATTTGGTCTGAGGATTTCATAGAAAGAACTAGTAGCTGGCTGCTCTGCTGTTTTGATGTTATAGCTCCAACCACTTAATATCTGACTCCAGATTTTATTATTAAGACCAATTAGAATTCACACTACAATCACCTTCATGCAATGGAAGATACAGGTGTCTGTTCTCCTCATACAGACCTACAGTTCCAGTGCAATACTAACAGAACTCTCACAGACTTTTCATAAACTAATGGGCTTATCCTGAAACTCACAATGTATATGAAGAACCAGAGCTTGAAAACACCTTGAAAAGGAACAAACTTGGAGGATGAACACATGACTTCCAGACTCCTTATAAACCTAGAGAAATGAAGACAGCGTGCCTGATTGGTAATGTCAACAAGACAGAAAAGAATATGAAGGGAACAGAAGAGTCACACACGTGTGAGGGGACACCTTTAGCAAAGGCACAAAGACACTTCAATGAAGCAGGCATATGCTCTTCACCGAGTTTTTCTGGGACTCAATATTGTGGTAGGGAGGTACAGGCCAGCACCCTGACCAGCAGCCTGAGGATCACCCTGTTCCTTTGATGACCTTACCCTGGTAAACTGGATCTAGGATGCAGAAAAGAATTTCAGAAACAGCCAGGATGAACCAAAGGTTGTGAGCTTATTAATCCTGTGGATAGAAGCTCTCATATACTAAGGATGGCTCATGCATGACGGCCTGAGTGTGGACTAGAGAGAGACTTGAAATTAGGTGTCACTGCAAAGGGTGTGTGAGGAGGGCAGGGAGGGAGGGACAGTGGGAGAGAGAGAAATGGGAGGATTTTTATGGCTTTAAAGTTACATTGCTGAAAGAATGTAATTCAGAGGCACCAGGAGAGACATCACTGGGGTGAGTGAGTTTCTGACCGCGGCAGCAGCCCGGGACAGGGAACTCAGACACCCCTCCTACACTTCCTGGTCATCCTCAGGGGCTACTCTGCCCGATACCCCCTCTCTATTCCTATCCCACCCAGCTTGCATCCACATCCCTCCCCCCCTCCATCTGACTCCCTTCCCTCGTTGACCACATAACATCTCCCAGCCCAGCCTGTCCGTGCTCTAGGACTGAATCCGAATCGGCAGGGCAAAAGGGAGGGTGGTAGCTCCTTTGTTCCCACTAGCCTGCCTGCACCGAGCTAGGTAGGTCCTTTGTTTACGAGATACCCAGGCTGCAAGGAGATCCGAACCCGGCACCAGGAGAGACATCAGGCTTGCATCCACAACCCACCCAGAGTGGTCCTGAGGAGTTCCATCTGGAAGCAAAGACTGGACCAAGACACCAGGCCTCTCCTGGCTCCATTTGAAGGAGGAGATGGGAAGGCCCCAATGCAAGACTTCCTCCAACAACCTGAAAGGCAACATGACTTCACCAGAATCAAGGGATCCCGAAATAAGAAGAATTGTACACCCTACTCCAGAAGAATTAGAAGAAATCGACTCAAAAGTGAATTATATGAAAATAATAAAAGACCTTAATCAGGAGGTGAAAAACTGCCATAAACAATTAGAGATTACAAAAAAAAGGTAGAGGAAATCAATAAATCGCTTAAAGATACCCAAGAAAACCAAGAGAAACATGAAAAAGCAATCAAACAGGTACGGGAAGTGGTTCAAGACTTGAAGAAGGAAATGGAAGTAATGAAGAAAACACAAACCGAGGGAAG